TTTCACGCCCAATGATGTTATCAATAGTCCCTCCTCCTCTCAGCCAGCACATCCACTGCCTTCAAGTGGCACTTCAGTGGGAACTGTTAGGCCCCGGAGAGAATTAGTGAAGCACACCACTGCCATTTTAAACAACTTGGTCGGTGGAATCGGTTTGGGCATGCTGGCGTGGGATTTCATCAAAAACTCTAAGGCTACTCGAATAAATCATGTTTCATTTTCAGGCCAACGCCTTCGTGGTTTTCCAGTCATCGGTATGACCTACAATAATATTGTAAACCTTCCCGATGAGAAATTACTGCTAAACAAGTTTCCTGACCTCAAGGTACGAATTTCACTATTTATTTCAGAAAGCAAAATCAAATGTGTTGTAGTATCACTTCATTATATAAACCAGAACTTTGGTGTGTCGGTTTGTCGGTGTGTGTCGTTCTGTCCGTCCGGACCAACCGCTCACAAAACCAGGGAGTACGAAGGGCAACACTTCGTGATGTTGATGTCATGATCATGATAACACCCACAGCGGCTATATAAACACCGATCGAGCACACTCAGTCTCATTCTACATGGTGCTGCCGTGGCAGCCGGATGAGCGGGGGAGGGGGGGGGGAGGGAAGGGGCAGAAAGGGGAGGCTGGAGGGAGGGAAGGGGAGAGGAGAAAGGGAGGGAGAACATGGCGCTGTCATGCGCCGGAGAGGAGGGTATAAGGAGGGGGAGGTGGGGGAGAAGAGAGAACGACCGTTTTCAAGAGTAAGGTCTATATTCATGTTGACGTATTATTCTAACCTGATGTGGTGATTGTGATAACACCCACAATGGCTACAAAAACACCGAACGAGCACACTCAGCCTCATTCTACATGGCCCAGCCGGAGTCGGCGGGCGGTAGAGGGGAGGAGGGGGAAGAGAAGGGGGAAGGGGAGAGGAGAAAGGGAGGGAGAACATGGTGCTGCCATGCGCCGGAGAGAAGGGTATAAGGAGGTATAACACATTCAATAGTGAGGTGGTTAATGGAGTACGTCATGCTGCTATTCCGTGGTTCCTCCCTACCCTGTGATGCGCGCGATATGCAGGGCTAGTTAGGGAGTGGCGAGTTTCGCGCGATTCTCGGAGCTTAGACATTGAGTCGATTCCGCCTTTATATATTTCTGGGTTTTATGAAATGTATGCCCAAGTTGAAATCCACTTCAAGTGAACTTTGGGCGGGATCACTTCAACCACTGTTTCCTTACTGGTGAGTTTCGTCTTTCAATACGGCAAAAGGAGCGACAAATTGAGAGGACACCAACAAATCCCTGGACTATTCTGCAAAACGACCAGTGGTAAAACTTAGAAAGCAAATGACCGTTTGGAATCCATCCAACAGCTGGGTCCAATACCTATAGCCCATCATCACCACCATTCGATCTATACATATTAGTCGATCCGAACATCGAGTTCTTAATGGCTTCTTTCCGTGTTTGTGTGAGAGACCTCTGAATTGAGCTAAACTAAAAATGTAGAGCAAATCTGGAATTCAATACAGTGGAGATCCGAAAGTTGGGGTAGGCGTGTCACCGGAATTGACGTGGACTTGATAGAAGTTGCGTAGATAAGTCGTTGCCAGCATGCTTTGCTGATATCTCGCGATGTATACTGGAAGCCCCTTATCCACATAGATTCTATCAAAAGTTCACGTCCTTCCGGACGCGCCCTACCCAACTTACGGAGTATTACTTCTGAAATGTCCGCTAATCAGGAACCCGGGGAGCGTGCAACAGAATCGTCCGGGAGTGGCGCCGTCGCGCGCGGTCACTTGCGCGGCGCCGTTATGCGGCACTTTTTCAATGGGCGCGGCAATAATTGACTTTGTCGATTGGAGCAAAGAAATAGCTGTAGTACATTAATCAAGCAGACATTGAAGTCCATTTTGCTTGATGATATACCTTTTTCTTCCACAACACTGCGTAAGATTCGCGGGAAAGCTCAGTTTACCTCAGCGAAGTCAGAATTCAGACCATTAAATCAGAACAAGCAGAAAACTGGAACAAAACAATTCATTTCCGCATTATACGAGAAGGGGAAAAGGAAAAAGGTCTGCTGTAACCGAAATCACCCATATATTGACTGAAATGTTGAAGGGGGAGTCGGTTTAGCCTCTCTTTAACATTCACAATTGAGTGACGCCTGTAATGAATGAAAACCGTCTAGCGTCGGCCAGAGCGGCATAACCGCGGTCCCGGCACATCTGTGCTACACGGCCGGATACCCCATTGTGGTCAACAATAAATGGTCAGCGGCGATATGAAGAACAAACCAAACAACCCTTTCGCTGAGACAATACCCCAATGTGGGCGTCTATCGGGGCCCATTCAATGACACTGAGTGTCACACTGCCTCAGTGGTCTGGGATCCATAGCGCCAATAAAACTCATTGTAATTTGTACTAATTATGTTATCCTCATCCTCTAAACGCAGTAAGGCTCACTAATGAATGCGTTTAAAAGAATGTGTTGCTGCAACCCTCAAGCAGATGTCCTAGCCCAGGCCACACCCTTATGACACATCCTAGAAGGTACATGCTTTTTATTCAAATTCGATCTCTTCCATTCTCTAACACCTCCCTACATGATCATTCTCTGTTTATCTACTTTAGTTCGCTTACAAATAAATGAATCCTACAACAATTTCGATTATCTCATTTTTCTTTGGAAATCCTGAATTATAAATGAAAGTCAATTATACTAATGACTGTTCGTCTGAAGTATCAATGGCTATTTCAGGTGATAGATGTCGAGCGAAATCCCAATTTCAACTGCAGCTCACTGAGTCAGTACGATCAAATAAAGATCGTCTCCGATGCAATAAGAATATCTCAGAAATCAGTCGGGAGCCGAGAATATTACGACCGACAAAGGGATGCTAAGCGATTTACTTAGATACTAAATTGAGCCGTTCGCATCGAATAAAAACGATCTCCACAACACGACGCTTTCAAGGATTGGACTTGCTGCCAGCGAACGAACATTACTACGAAGCCCCTCCACAATAATGTTTCACCGTGTCAATCATGAAGCAGAAATATATGAAGATTTCAATTTAGACGTAAGTCCCATCGCATGAATCTCATTGCTTAATCATTTTCTATGGTGGAACTCTCCGCCTCAGCGGGAACCAAACTCGCACCTCTTACTTTTTGGACAATTGTGCTACCGATCACTATTATAATATTTAGGAATTATGATTTTCGTAACGAAATGCGGCCAAAAACAGCAGCTGACAATCAAAACTGTTTTCAAGCGTTTCTGGAAACGGTGCTATAAAAGGAAAACATAGAGTGACTTGCGCACCCATCTTGCCTCCCTGGACACAATTCGTGAACTCATCCGGAAGATCAGGGCAATTGCCCAAGTCATTCCGTCAACTGACGCAATTTTGATACCCCACACAATTCCTGCTTGTAACAGCCCACGGCCATACTAGGCCCTATCAACGACTTCACGAGACCCCCATTATCGTTCAGCTGCAGTGTTACCTATAAGACACTTTGCCCATTTATTTATGAATGTTCTGCGCCCTGGGGCAGATGCTCTGAGATTTGACCCTCAGGACTGAGCGCATAGGCCGCGCCTATATTTAGCAACAGTACATCTCATGCTGCTCGAAAATACAAGATTAAAAAAATCTGTCTTCTAAAAACGTTTGAAGTATCGCCTGTGAATCGAGCAGATTCCAGCAAGCAGTGCCTTAGGCATCGCAGTATATGGACCAATCACCCGGATGAATATTTGCACACTCCCCCTGGTACTTCCCCAAGTGGGGCAGCACTTCGACAAAGGAGTTTACCGATTTCATACAGTTCTTCAAAAACCCATCGAGTGGTATCACCACGAATTTTCCTATGTGATAATATGATATTAGCTTCTATTCCATCTCATTTTTGAGCCTGCTGTTGAATCTCCAAATAAAAGATCGGGAGATCCAGGAAATCACATTGATGATGTCACTAAAATTTCAGGACACTCTCCGTCAATTGCAAGAGTTCTTCAAAATGGTCGCGAATCGTGTAAACCAGATGGGTACGAAGATTCAAGTGACCTTGAAAGAAAAACTAGCGGATACCGAAGATGGAGCGGAGATGACACCAATGCCAGAATTGAAAGAAGTTGACCTTAATAAATTGTAGGCATTTCAGTACTGAACTTATCTTAGTTAGAAGTTGTTAAGAAATCTACAAAAGGGGTGTATATATTACGGAGAGCTGTATAAATCATTATCGTTCTGCTTATGAAAGTTGAAATAAATTTTAGACAAATCGAACGTTCATTTCGTAGAACTTTATTCCAAGAATGCTGAATTATGGACAAAACTTTCGTCCAAGGCGGGACTCGAATCCGCACCTCTCCCTTGCAGAACAGGTGCACCACAAGTGAACACACCACGAAGCTGGGCCAGGGCGAAGCGGTGCCCGGTAACGTAATTTGTAGCGCACTTGCGAGAAGCGAGAGGTGCGGGTTAGAGTCCACACATGCAACGCTGGTCGGCCGGGGCCTGAGATATGTAGTAGTAAGATTGAGTATGTGAGATAGGAGACGCAATGGTATGGAAGGGGAAGGGAGGTACGGATTTCGGCGAGCTGACTGCAACTCAGTCGCGGTCGTCGAGCACAAAATAGTAAGGAAAACGGAGGGTGATAGTACTATAACAGCAAGCGCACAACAGGCGCTCTTGTAGCTGCCGTTATTGTGGAATTCTTTGGAATGTTGTGGAATTTCTTCCATTTTTACAGGGAGAATCATTCACATCCTCCTAATTGTAGAATGTGCCTTCAAATCGACGAGTCTGGAGGTGTCGCCAAGTAAGACAGCAAGGAGACTCAGCAAAAGTAAAGTGAAGGGGAAGAGAAGGCGTCGCAAAATCGTCATAATATCATAAATATCACACCCGTCATCCATCTCATCTATGTGATAGCACTCTAGCGCTCTTTGTTCCTGCCTCAGAGTTACTAGGAGCCCTCCTCAATGTCAAAGCCTGAAGAACAATCATCGCAGACGAGTTCTACCGCAGCTGCGTGAGCATCATCGCGAATGCATTCTCTGATAGTCGTTTTGAAAAAGGAATAGATTACCTACGGTGAATGACGATTTAGAAGCGGCAATTTTAGAAAGGCACTAAAGAAGACAATGACTGTCACAGGTGTACGGAACATGTTCCATAAACACTTTATTGTACAAAATAAAGTTTGAAAAGTTTCACTGTTGAAGCGAGGGAGCGAAACCGATCTGCCTCTTTCCAACGTGGTGAATTTGACAGTATTGGCGAATAAATGGATCGCCAAGAATCCAGCTAGGACCGAATCCGCCGAAGTCCATACCAAACATAGCCAACATACAGCGGCCGTCACCAGCTGACACGATAAGATTCTTCGCTTCAATACGGTATGTGTTCCTGCCAATGCCAAGCTCAAGCGAAGGGTTAGCGTTGCAGTTGATGAAGTACACACCGTTGCTCTGGTCATACTGCAACAAGAACACATTTTCCATGGCTGGTTATAAGGTGTTGCAATGAAAAGGAAATTTGAGGCTAAAACTGGGAACATACCCTTCCTCCAACTTCCATGGCAATTCCTCTGGACAATGCCAGATGGAGCTCCAATCAGGGAGGTACCCGTATCGGAGATCACTTGCCAGGACTTTCGCTGGTTCAATGTTCTCGACCTTACACTATTCATCTGAAATAGAGCGATTTTTACAGAGCTAATACTCCTTCACTCTTTTATTTGCTCTCAGGCTTCCGACTTTTTGAGACCTTGTTTTCCTTCTCAGAATTCAAGAAAATAATACCTGTCGGAGATTCCGAATAGCTGAGGAATTTACAGAGAACTCTCTCTGCCCTTGCTCGCTAAATTTATAGTTATGAAAGCAGCAAGGCGTGGATGATATTGAGATGATGTTTAGGAAATGAGGTAGATTCGCAGCAGTCGCAGTTCATGGGTACTGGTCTATTCACGGGCAATATAATACCATTAAACAACACCATACCCCCCCCCGCACTCAAAGGCACAACCCAGGCAGAGGTGTGAACGCTTCTCTTCGGTCTGTAGTATAGACCCCTAGACAATCACAAATGTGGCGTTCTCGTGCACGGAAACCAACCGATAAGAGCGCTTGGGCCTTGCAAAGTAAGCTGCCCAAGCTGCAGACTTTTTTCTCTTATCAGGCTGTTGTCTGGCGATCTCTCATCTGTAGCGCTCTCTCGCCCCATACTCTCCTCTCCGCGGGGGGGGGGGGGGGGGGGGGGGGGGGTACTTGGTCTCTCAATTCCCTTTAGCAAGCCGAGGGAGTGAGTGATCCCTCATACCTGACTGTTTTGACGGATCTTTTCCTTTTTCTTACTGCACAGCCCACTCCCACCCAACACAACTACATTCGTTACAAGAAGTCCACACCAATGTGATCTGGCATCCTTTAAACCCAAACACTATGTAGTTGGCCCCACCTGTGCCTATCCCATTCGACTGTATTTTTCAAAGTAACATTCCGGAAGCTAGTTGATCTTACGATTAGAATCCTTGTCTAATAGTAGGCCCTTCGCGTCGACCCCACCCCAACGCTCTCGTAACCCACAGCTACTCTTTCATAGTGACAATAATGATAATGGCCTTCAACACATCTCTCAGATAGACAATTCACTGTTCTTGTTCAGTGACTTACCTTGAGGCTTCATACCTCGCACCACCCACCACTAAAAAACCCCCCACATTAACGCGATTCCAGCAGGTTGTTTTTCGTTTTGTAAAGAATTCTCTGCTAGCGCATCGTCCACCTTCAGTGACATATTTTGTTCCTTTCTAAGATTAAATTCAATCCGGGCTGCTACTTTTTACATTCAACTCTGCCCGAGTGCTTACCGTGAACTGCCAGTACGTGGCAGATGAAAGAGGCTCCCATGCGATGATTCTGCCACAGTTGGTGGTGTCGATTCCACCATAAGTGAACACGCCTCCATCAACATTAACCTGATCTTAATAAGAAAAACACTTTGCAGCGATCAATTCAATTAAATAAAAATTGTTTTGATTTACCAACCGCCGACGCGCTTCATGAAGACTGTGAACACCGGTTGGTCAACAAGACCTTGTTGTATTGCCTCAATGAATGGTGGAGTAACCCCATCGACAGCGATGCTCTTGAATGCCAGGCCCAGGATACCGTCAATTGGTTGCTGTAGAACTTTATCATGGTATCAAACTTCCTAAGATGAATTGTGACCTGAACTTACCCCAGCAAAGAAGGGTGCAAGCTTTGTCGCTTGCCCGAAAGTGCATCTTGGGACTACCAGCTGATCCGTGCCAGGGGAGCCGAATCGAACTGTGTCTCTGCCAAGGAATCCTGATGCCGATCCAGTACCGTACTGAAAAAATTCGTGTGCAGCTAGACGAGAAGCTTCGGATGACATTTGCCGTCGCCGTTCAAAGGTACATCCCGCTACAATAGGACTCGGAGGTTGGCCTTAGCGTAAAATCGAGAGCACCTTGCAGACACTGAGGTCGGGAAATCAAACAAAGAGGTCGCTCAGCATAACCTATCCCTTCTGCAAGGTTATTCCTGAACACTATACAAACATGACGAAACCGAACTTCGGTAAGGAAGAACCAGAGCTTAGGTGTATCCGGGGGAGGTCGATGACTTCTATCTATCTTATTCTCATTTTCTTCTGGGCGTTACGGCTCTTGACCCTGATGGGGGTCAAGTAAGCTGGCAAGCGCTAGATTCCAGCAGAGGTGAAAATCGGCGAGCGAAACGGCACGCGCTCGTCCGAGGATTTTTTGCCCTGTCTACGCTCTCTCTGGCATGTTCACTCTCGCCAGCGACGAGCGGTTGCCACTTTCATGGACTGTTCAGGTTCGTTTGATCTCTCGAACATTCCTTACTCTCGGCACCTGTGTATAGTGGAGCGCCTTACCCAGTCTCTTCTGTTATCGCAATTCTCTCATTACAAAAATAATTGGTTATATCTCTCTGCGGCCCACTATCTCAGTGTATTTTACTGATTCACGTACAAAACCTGATGCTCCACTCTTCCCGTGCGGGTTGCTATGTCCTCGGACCTGACGAGGTCGATATCTATTATCTCTTACCGTCGTCACGGGTTCATTACCATTCCTGCCTCAAAGGAACGCGCCAATCGACAATCGAAGTCTCTGCATTATACAGCAATCTGTACTCGGCACAGCAAACGGACAGATCGCCCTGAAATTCCTCATCAATTAGAGATGATAGACGATCCGATCAGATGCCTATCTATATCTCTTTCCGCGTGACTGAGCGCTGGTTTCTACATACTGTCAAGACAATCATACACCAGTTGTAACTACCCTTTCGTCTATATATATATATTATTATATTGGTGCAGACATGCACCACAAGACTACGGCCTTCACAAAAATATATATTAAATTATTACTGTTGAAGTTATAATCTTATCTTTATTTAATTCTAACACATTTACCAGAATCGGCTATCATTATATAACTTGTAACCAAGATTACTCGCGACACGTCGTCAGTTCTTGGTGTTTGCGTCTAGAAACCGACTTCTTCGCTTATAGTTACTGGAACGCGTTCGTAGCGTAGTAGGACTTAGACTACTAAGAGGAAGCATATCCGGTGATTGTCAGCAGTTCCATCACACCAGCAAATGTTACTTTTGCCTGACTAGATTGACCACCAGCTGTGTTTACTCAAGCTCATTCGGGTCCTTTAGAAGGAATATTTGACACGAGGTTTGCGTGTCGTCGAATTTGGACTTGGGAGAAGTAAGTTATTATTTATATTCTTATGAAGTGAGAGGCAGAGAAGTGATTACCTTGGGCGGCTTAACACTACTTTGCGTGACGTGGAAAATATTATTTTCCATTTTTATTCTACTTGCTTTAGAAATATTTGTTTCTTTGTTGGCGTTCTTAGTAACTTTCCCCCTGATTTTTGAGACATCGGAACTTGGATTTCGGCAGCTTGGCGGACCTACTAAGTCAGTATCCGGAGTTCTATGTATTCTTATATGAGCTTGCAGTGTTGGGCGGCCACTGCCCTTCCAGCCGATTTCCACTCCCTCAGTTCAGGGCCCGGTTACCTATTAGTTTAAAATTATTGCTTTATCGTAGACTTGTTTCTGTTCCTTTTCATCACTATGTTATTTTTTGTTCGATTTACCGATAATAAATCACTAATCGTCAATCTTGAAAAATCTATTCACAACAGGAGTGACGCTGGGAGATTGCCGTGCCACAAACACTCTACCTCCTGTCAGGTTAGTTTCCATACACACCAACCAAGCCACTTTCCCATTCCGGGTCAGCCATTTGACGCAGGTGCCGGCAAGGTTGAAACGCCAGTGGGGGCGTCAACTTTTATTTTATAGCAGTTCCCAACACCGAATGACAAGAGTCATGTGGTTCTAACCAGGGAAGGCATTCAAATTTCCATAGAACGTTGAATCGAGACCCAGATATATCGATAGAGCTGCAAAATGAACCTGCCAAGGAAGTTGTGAGCAGTCAAAGTTGGCTAAAGTAAAGCGTTGCATATGAACCGTGCTGGACCCGGCTTTCAGAGTCGCCGCGGAGTAGTGGTAGTGCCCTCGCTCTTCACCCGGAGGTCATAAGTTCTCTTCCCGTTGGAGTGCAAATTTCGAGAGCACTACCACTACTCCACGGCGACTTTGAAAGCCCGGAGGCTAGGTGTAAACGCTTTACTTCCAGCCAACTTTGACTGCTCACAACTTCCTTGGCAGGTTCATTTTGCAGTTTTAGTTTCCATATTTGTAATCAAGCTCTATCGATATATCTGGGTCTCATTTCAAAGTTCCATGGGAAGTTGAATGCCTTCCCTGGTAGTGTTCTTCTCCAAATCGAAAGCTCAGCTCCACTACAGTCAGTTTCTCAGTTCCCTAGTTCGTGCAGTACGTGGGAGCCGTATTAATCTAAGGAGGAGTAGCTCTGCACTCCCAGAAAACTAATGTTGGTGATCACTTGAAAAGCTGCAATCAGAGAAAAACCGAAAAAATTGTAAGTGAAAGGAGCCATACGTTGTATTATACACTCGAACGCTTCGCAATTACCACCGCCGCCACCACCACCTCTACCGCATGACACGTCGGGAACCCATAGATTGGCTGATCCAGTGTCAAGCACCACCTGAAGCGAATCAATCGCCCTATATTTCATGTTTCTCAAGTAACTATCACAGAAAAATCACTTTGAAATGAAACCTACCCTGAATTCTTGCTCAGGTGTTCCAATTGTGATGTTCCCAAGGTATTCCTGGTCATCGTAGTCTTTTACCTGAAAGTAGAGAAAATTGCCTCGAAGAAGGCTGCGCTCAGGTTGGTCGCGCGTTAGATACAACGAACCCTCTGTTGATATGGTCCATTTGCGCCGGGCATTCTTGCTCGAGCCATATTCTTCAGTTGGACATGGCGAGCCCAGGTTCCTTCACGGATCATTCTCGTTCTTTGCGATTCAACCTTCACCAAGTGAACTTGGTGCACACCGGCAAGCGCACAGCTCACCAGGGCTAGAACAGCCAAGAGCAACCGCATAGTGCTGAAAGTAATCTAAAATGCTTTTTTTGACTTTTTTGTTTGTTAACTGCTGTTTTTGGCCGCAGTTCGCCTTGCGAATGTTTCACAAGAATGCTGGGTTGTGAACAAAACTTTCGCCCCAGGCGGGACTAGAACCCGCACCTCTCGCTTTCCGGGCAAGTGCGCTACCAGTTACGCTACCGGGGCACCATTTCATCCCAACTCAGCTTTTCATGGTATACGTACCATAGCTTTCAGCACATACATTATACGAAGTTATACGTTTCCTATTTTTGCATATTTATCAGGAAAATCGTTCAGGCCATGAAGCGCTTCTCCAAAATGGGCTGTTGTCATACATTTCTCAGGGTGCATGCTTGGAGCATAGAACAGGTGATATTTGTCCTGAACGGCTGTGGGATTGCCAGAAATAGGGCAGAAAACTTCTAACGGAAAGCAAAATGTTCCATTTTGAGACACATTGTGACATTGGATGGTTGTATATCGGATGGGATTCTGTTCAGCGAATGAGTTTCCGAATATATGGGCGCAAGAAAGTGGAAAATAGAGAAACGCAAAATTTTGCCCTAGTGGAGACCGAACCAGATGCCACTGTTCCCACATATTTTTTACTATTTCCAGAGCTGCTCAGAAATAAATAACGTAATAACTTCACGACGACTTGCTCTTATACGGGCGAGAACGAAACGTTCTGGAATAAGGCGCCTTCAGGTTCTGCGAGACTTTCTAAGTCGGATAAAGCCTAATGACGAGGCGCGGGTTGGTAGGAAACAGGGGGGAGGAGGCGGGGTTTGTGGAAACAGAGGGTATCATAGGGATCTCAAAGGGGGACAGTTTTCGGGACTTCTTTTGTAACCATGACAGAGCAAGATTGCGTCGGAAAAGGAGGTTCAGGTAAAGTTATCGTTCGTAATGATGCGAACATGGTCACTGAGAAGTGGAAAGTACTGCAACGGAAGATGTAACCAAGTAGATGAGAAATGTTATCGAATCGTGTGACCTTCCGGTATATTTATACAGGGCCAGTTGGGTGTGCCCTTAGACTTTATCAGTAAAGTGCATCAGAATGGAGTGCTCAAAGCTGGCCAATTATGCCATAAAATGTTTGCGATGAACCGAAAGCCTCCTATGATATTTAGGGAACGAATGATTCATATCCGGCGTTTTTGAAACAAACAATCAAAGCAACAAGGAACAGCACAAAGTCGAGTTAAGCCAGGATAAAAACCACTTGTGTGCTCAGTGTTCATCAATACCGCCAAATTGCGCTACATATTCGATCAGGGTCAGAATAAGTAAAAAGGATAAAGCATTTGCCGTTGATCAATCCCTTTTGGGATGCGGCACGCATTCTACTTCCATTTGTACATTCGTAGTGGCGTTTGAATGCGATGTGGCCTATACAATGACTTGCGGGGGCCAGCCGATGTACAAGTCAGTGTTTTTATCCTCCCAGACAAGTCTGGTACCAATTAACCGACCCCGGAGGATGGAAGGCTTGGTTGGCCCGGGCGACTCACGACCCAGGATTTGATCCCCGGACCGCTCGCGTGGTAAGCGTGCCACTTGCCACTACACCACTTCCGCCCATTTTAGGGTCAGAATAGGGGAATCCTAATGTGAATTGAGTGGCGTACTTGCAATTTCTTCGTATTCCGTTGATTATCAAATGTTCAGGTGAGTGACCTACCTGCAATCGGGTCGACCCAATTCCTTTTTTTCCAGGTTTGGGATCCCGCCAAGTTTTCACCCCGCCACACCAATCCCGTCCTGCAACTCAGTTTAGAATCTCTCTTGGTCATG